GAGAGGTAAAAAACGAGCATAAAATAATAAATAAAAAAAAGCCTTTTTGCTTGTTTGTAATTTATAAGATACTAGTATGGTGTAGAATGAATGTTAATGCAATTTTGTTCATTCTTCTTCTGATTTCTTTGTTATTATGTAATTATGATTCTTTTTTTTTTTTGCCTTATTTTATGTTTATCTTTTCTACTTATTTGTTATATTTACTTTTAAACAATTGTAAAGGTGATTATGTCATTTTATGACTTTTACAAAGTTGTGTTGTGTGCTTAATTTATAACTTTTTCATATTCATTAATGTATTCATTATAGCTTTTTTTTCTTCTACTATCGGCGCACTTATTGTATTTAAAGGTTTAAATTTTATAAATTTGGCTCAAATAAATAATTAGTTCCCATAAAATAAGGTTTTTTTCATTTTAATCATTTTAATTTAATTATTTTTATTTTGGTTCTCTCAAATTAAGTTATTTTCATTTGGTCTACCCAATTTTTTTGTTTCATTTTGGTCCTGGTAAACTTCTGAATTTTCTATTTTAGTCTATAATTTTTTTTTTCTTTTCTCCATAGAATTAACCATCAATCTAACAGTAAGGAAAAATGTGAGTAATCCTACTGACCTGAATTTTGATTTTGCAATCTTTATTACCTTTTTGAATTTGAGCAAAGACTTATCAAAACTTTCGTTATAACTTGTAAACTGTGAGTATTTTTTGTTGTTCGTAAATTAATGTGGGCTTCTAGGCTAGCTTATTTGTTCAATGGCCCAAAATTGTTAGATATTCTTAGTTTGAAAATGTATTGAGCTAAATGGGCTTTGCTAAATTGGTTGGGGATTATGATATATACACCTCTATTATACGATAAGTATACTTTTTTTAAAAAAAAAAAACATCTTCAAATATATTTAATTTTTTATTTTATATTTTTTAATTTTAGGTATCTAATTTTTAATTTAGTATTTTTTTTTATTTTTTTATATACATATTTCTTTTTCTTTGTTTGACTCATGATATATATATATATATATATATATATATATAT